AAAAAAAAAAAAAAAACTTTGATTTAAGGTTTTTCAACTTAAAGCAAATGGTGGCTTCAGGCTTCACAGGTTGTTGTTTCATCCTCCAAGAATCACTCAGTTTCCACCAGAAAGTATCCAAGAATTTACATGTTTGCCATTTTGGTTAACCTGGACAAGTGCAAGCATGTTATTTTTTTCAGCTAATTGTTGAGTGGTTCTGCATGGGTAGCCCTAGTTCTCATCTCTGTACTAACATGGTCTTTGTCTTTCTTCACAGAAGTATGACCCAGACCTTTTCCGAATGGCCCTTCCTTGTCTCAGTGCTATAGCGGGGGCCCTGCCACCGGATTATTTAGATACCAGAATCTCAGCCACATTGGAGAAACAGATCTCAGTGGATGCAGATGGCAACTTTGACCCCAAACCCATCAACACCATGAAGTGAGTCCAGAATCTTCTCTAAGCTGGTCCTATATTTTGCCCGGTGGCCTGTGTTTTTCTTTCAGAAGGTGACAAGAAATGTAAACTTTCCTTCCTTCCCTCCTGCCAACACTGCTGATCATTTCCCTTGATGCTACAAGTCACATCAGGCGCTGCATTTTGTCCTCAACTCTTGAAGGTTTCATCCATCCATATCTGATTATATACTGTATTATTATATTCTGGGCTTTCTTTTGGGGGAGTGGTTTATTTATTGTAAGAGATGAATGCTCTCCACAAATGTCGCCTGAGGCATTGCAAGAACTGCCCTGACAAATGATGCAATTAATTTATTAATGAGTTTTTTGACAAAATATTCATTCTTTGTGAATTAGGCCTCTATAGTTCTAATAGCATCGTACATCAAAACAACTCCATAAATAACACTCAGCTGAACTCCAGTAAGACCTCAGGGTGTGATGACAGAACAACATGGGGTCCTTAGTTGAAAGAGTGGACCCACTCTTTGCCATCCTGGAATTTTGCTGGAATTTTGGAATAAACTTATAATAGTGTCTTTTCCTCTCTCCTTCTGGCTCTCCAGCATTCCTCCCTGGTGATGACTAGGCCACAGATAAAATATTGGGCAACATACGCTCAATTTTGTCTTGTGACAGTTCTTTCCTAGTTACAATGTGTTGTGGGTCATACGGTCTTCATCTCCAGGTGCATTTTTTTTTAAAAGATTTTATTTATTTTATTTATTTGAGAGAGATAGTGACAGAGATAGTGAGAGCGATCACAAGCGGGGAGGAGAGGGAGAAGCAGGCTCCCGCTGAGCAGGGAGCCCAATGCCGGGCTCGATCCCAGGACCCTGGCATCATGACCTGAGCTGAAGGCAGCCGCTCAACCGACTGAGCCACCCAGGCACCCCTCCGGGTGCATTTTAAATGAAGAACTCTAAAAATGCTTTAGATTGAGCAGGGAAAGCAAGACCTCCTGTATGAGCCCCTGGGACTTGTGTTTTGCATCAGTAGTTCTCCTATGAGAGGCATAGCCTGAGCCATTCTGAGGGGCTGTCCGCTTTGATAATGTATAAAGTTCATCTTCGGGAAAATTAAGTACACATTCCATCAGATGGAGCCTTGAGCTGAGTGGATGGCAGGAAACAGAATTGAAGCTACTGTAAAGAAGAGATTAAGTGTGTGGCAAACCACCAAGCTAGGCCCCAAGAGAAGCAGGTGTTGACTTTGGAGAACTTCACCCTGTGAAAACGTAAATGTGCAGATGGTGTTAGTAAGCTGGATGCCTTCATAAACACTTTGAGACGCTATATGCTAGCAATTGTTTGCTAATGATGTGTATGGTTCCATGTTATTTTGAGAGTTCTGATTTCACATATACCTCTGGCATCATTATGGTTCTTTGAGTAATATGAGTAACCGAAGCTATAAGTTAAACAAAAAAGCACCTTATTGCAAAGATACAGTGACTTATTATCAAAACCTAATGAAAAGCTGACTAACCGGGCCTCAGGAAGGACAGGAATCGAGGCGGAGTGTGACCAAATGAAGAACCTTCAAGTAGGATCCCCATTGGATGAATCAGCTCAGAGTTTGATGCCTTAGTCTCAAACATCTCAAGATTCAGATTCCAGGGAGAGTGAGTCTGACTGACCTAGTCGAATGCCCATTCTTGGTGACTGTTCACATAAGACTCCGTGCAATGCAAGACTTGTTCCTCAAGGGAAAATGGAAGTGCTTTTACCACCTGAGGGGACAGAAGCTGATGTCTGCCCTCCTAACCACATTTTAATATTTAAACATGAGTCACTGCATCCAGAAAGGTAGACGACCACCACTATTTTGTAACATTTGCTCCTCTATCTACCCATTTCTGACATTCCCAGATTGGAGTGGTGGGGTTACAGGCCGCGTCTTTGGATAAAGGGATTCTCCCTGTCTCACCCGGACAGGTCTGGCCCTGGAGCCAGGGTGGGTCTTCGGGAGCCAAGGGCACCTGGAGCAGCCGGAGGGAGGTCACCTGTGCAGCCAAGGCTCCTGCAGTGATGTCCTCTGATGAGACAGGGTGTGCGTTTGTGACCCAGCATGGACACGCCATCCTTCCGCACAGAAGTTCACTGTTGGAAATCCAGCTTCGGCTTTGGGGCAGCAATCCAACCTCTGACCGCTGATTGCTGGTTCCCGCCATCTTTGCAGTACATCCAGCTCAAGTGCCTGGGAAGGTTGTAATGTTTTTTTTCTCATTTCACAGTTTCTCCTTGCCTGAAAAATGGGAATACATCGTCACCAAGTACGCGGAGCATTCACATGATAAATGGGCCTGTGACAAGGTAGGGATTATCATCTAACTGACAATCCTCGGGGGTGGGGGAAAAACAGCCCAACAGCATTAAAGGGTCCAATCCTGGAAATCTGCCTGATTTGTCTAAGTGACAGACTGGCCGTGCCAAGAGCATTCATTATTTCTGAGCAGCAATTTCCCAGGGTTGGTGGAGGTCGGAGAAATAGGCGGCAGCAACGGCTGGTGCTGCTTTTTGTATTTCTCAAGAAAATGATTGATTCCGGGAGTGTTAACTCCTTTCTAAATATTGCATTTTCTGGAGTTTGCACCAAGCACACGCTTGCGTGGTTTTGACGTCAACGCGTAATGCGGGGCAGGAGGCTTTCATTAATTTTTTCTTGGAACGTAGCGTTGGAAAAGGGGAAATAAAACTGAAAGCCTTGCCCTTGCATCTTGCCAGCAAACTGAATTTTATTCCAGGGAGGACGCACATCTTCCTATGGCAGGCAGCGGTAGAACTTCCAGACACTCCCTTATTAATCAGCCTGTCCATCTGGTGTTTAAAATTCCTCACCACATGAGGTCAGGCTGCTTAATGAGTTTAATTGCTCTGTCAGCCCTTTAATGCTGGCAGGCAAAGTGGGAGGAATGTGCCAAAGCCATCCAGGATTCCTGTGGGCAGCCAGTTAAGGACTGGGGCCATTGCTCAGCTGCGGCTTCCGGTGCGTAACTGGGAAGCCACGTCCCTTGCAAAGCCGCAGAAAACCACCTCGGGGCCGTGTGCCCCAGAGCAGGGACACCTTGAACCACTGGCTCAGCCTCTGTTTTGATCTGGGGTCTGCTTTTATTCTTTGATCAGTTTCTACTTGGGACTGATGATAACAACCGTCCTTGTTAACTGTAGAATGGGCTCATGCCTCGTGATTCTAGAGCAGGGTTGGCACGCTTTTTCTGTAAGGAGCCAGATAGTAAACATTTTAGGCTTTGTGGGCTAGGCGGTCTCTGTTACAACCACTCATCTCTGCGGTTGCAACACAACTGTAGCCAGAGGTAACACATAAATGCAAGAGTGTGCCTGTGTTCTGAAAAAACTGTATTTCTGAAACGGGGTTGTGTGGGTTGGCCGAAGGGTCCAGTTTGCTGACCCCTGCACTAGAAGGAGCAGTATGCCCATTTGGCCAACCTATGAATTAGGGGAAAGGGACACCTCCACAAACCGATAGCAATATCCAATCTCTCACTAAGCCGTGTGGATTTTACCTCCGTAGTCCCTCTTGAATTTGGGGAGGTCTCTCTATCTATGCCATGGCTTTAGTCCAGGCTGCAGTCATCCTTTGCCCAGATGCTGGTGATAATGTCCTAACTAGTCTGCCCATGTGCCTTTTGTCAGTTCTGTTCTTAACACTGCTGGCAAGTGCTAGTTTCAGTATGCAAATCGAGTCATAGTCTACCACTGTTTTCCAGCCCAGCCCTTCTCCTTGTTAAAATCCTTTAATAGCTTCTAACCATTTTTAATACAAAGGCCAAAATCCTAAGCATGGCCCGACAGCAGATCCTACCTCATCTGGCCTCTGCTGCCATCTCAATCAGCCTCATCTCTCCCTCCACCCTCTGCCCTCCAGCCACATCCCCTTATTTTAGTATCTCTGTCTGTCTCTCTCCCTCTCTCTGTCACACACACACACACACACACACACACACACACTCTACATGAGCCTGAAACCCTTCCCACTCTGAGCCAGGTCCCCATGTTCATCCACTCACATGCAAACACCAGTCACCAATTCATCCTTCAACTCTCCATCCCAGTGTGAATTCCTAGCATACCTCTTTCCCAGATTTCTCAGATGTAGGCCTTCTTAGCATCTTGCTCTTTTCCTTCATAGTGTTTTTAAAGCAGTTTTATATATTTATAAGAATTATACAGTGATACCAGTTATCAACTGTTCCTCTCCTGGTATGGTATGTGATTAATCTCTCTTCCACTAGCCTGTAAGCTGCACATTTATAGGGAAACAGGTTTGCTCACCATTGCCTAGTGGGCATTGGTTATCTAACAAAGAAAAGCGTATTTTCCCCTGCCCTCAAGAGCTTCACAGTCTTGTGGGGTAAACAAAATAAACCAGCCATCATACAGGTTGTTCAGTACTGCGGAGGGCAAGAGCACCAGGTTAGAGCACATAACCCATAAGAGGAGTCCCTAAGTCAGTAGCAAGCGTCCAGGAATGCTTCCTTGAGCTGGTGACATCTACACTGTGTGATAAGGGGTGGGTCGTTGTTCAAGCCCAGGGCAATAAGTGCACTGCAGTCCATGGGAGCAGCAGATGCAAGCAGAGAAGTGAAAGAGAGTCTGGTGGCTTTGGAGAACCATAGTTCAATGTGGTGGGATCACAGAGTAGAGCAGAGGAAGAAAGGTGAGAAATGAGTTGAGAAAGGTCAGTGAGATCTCACAATAGCTTTAGAGGCCACAAGGAGTTTGGGTTTTACCATGATGACAGCTGGGAGTCAGAAAATCTTAAAGCAGTAGAGTGCCCCGATCCGGGTGATTTTATAAATCTCACCTAACGGTCGTATAGAAAATGGAGTCCACAGAGAGATGGCAAGACTGGAGGCAGGGAGACCGCACAGAGGCTGTTGCAGTAATCTAGGTGAGAGCCTATGGTGGCTGGAACTGAAACACTGGAGGGAAGCTAGGGAGAGGCAGGCAAATGAGCAGGTCTGGGAAGTTGAACACACGTGAGAGGGTGCAGAGAAGGGGGCGTCAAGGAAGATTCCCGCATGTCTGGCTTGGAAAGTGAGCGTACGCTGGTACCATTCGCCGAAATGCGGGGAACCCAAGAAGAGGGACCCCTAAGAGGAGTGAAATGCCAGGTTCTGCTTCAGGCATGTGAGGAGGTACCTGTGGGCATCCAAGCAGAGCTTAAATAAGTTTGGAAATTAGGAAAGACATCTGGGCTGGAATACCGATTTGAGATTTGTCCACCTGTGGACCATGGGCCTGGATTACATCTACCAGGGAGAGTGTGCTCTGGAGAAGGGACAGAAACTTGAGAAACAGACACATTACTAAGTGGGCAGAGGCGGAGATTGAGAAAGACCAGCCAGGAGTCTTTGGGCTGTGAGGTTATGGCAATCAGGGTCTCTTACTTACCTCTGTATCCACGGTGCCTGGGACCGAGTCTGGCATCTACTGTAGTAGGCATTCAACCGATGTTTGTTGAATGAATTTTGAAACTCTTAAATTTCTATGACTCTAGGAGACATGCATTGCTACAATTCTGCTCTAGGGTTGGCGGGCACGCAGTGCTAATCAAGTCAGCCCCCTCCAGGCAGTGGGCAGTAGGACCAGTCCTCACATGCCTTTGGCCTTGACTTCTGTCCTTGCCTGTGATCATGACACGCTGACCTGAGAAGCATTCTTCTCAGGTCTTTTGAAACCTCCTTCTGTCTGAAACACAAGCACGTAAGCGGTGAGGACAGCAGCTGAAACAAGAAGAAATAAAGGAGCAGAGTTCACAATTCAGGGGGCAGAGAGCTTGATGGCCTGAAAGGATCAATTAGACACTTTGGGGGGGGAATTTTCAAGCTCTGTCACATCCCATTATTCCATTTGTTCAGTGAAAATAGAAGCTGGGATTTGGGTCATACAGTGGGGCTCTTTGGATGCCAAGGATATTTGAACTGAGAACATTTCTACAGAGTCAGAATGGATGGAAATATGGAATTTCCCTGGATGAAAATGTGAAGACCCATCCACTCATCAGGCCTTTCAAGACATTAACGGAAAAGGTAAGAAACTTGCCTCTGGTAACACTGAGCGGCCATGCTGATTTGCCTTCCTTGGGCAGTCTTTCAGTCAGATGGTTAGGTGACTTCAGGGCACATTCACCCTCCAGTTTAAATAAACTCCTCAGGAGCTCACCAATGGGCAAGAGCCCCAGGACCAGTTTTCAAGAGGCCAGCCTCACATTCTGTTCTTTGGCACTGAGCACCCATTGGATGGAGAAGCACTATTCAGCACCTAGAGGCTGAGTCAAAATGCATTCATAGTTCGCTTGCAACAGGACTGGGATGGGCTTTTGTTAGACTGCTGATGTGGGGGACTTAGGGCTAAGAAAACATTGAATTGCTGGAGGAAATTCAGATAGAAATGACTTCCAGTCATGACAGACAAAGGGGGTAGAGAGGAGGGGCCCTAAGGAAATAAGGACAGGTCTTTTGGGTTTATTATTATTACTATTACTATTATTATTAAATTTGGTTCAGCGCAACTCCAAATTCCTATCTTGGGATTAGTAAGCATTCTTTGTAAGCTATAGGCTTTGTGTTGTATGTAAAGCACAGCGTGCATATCATTGTATGTATATTGGCCCTCTGTAGAATTATGTATTGTTCAAGAGATTTCTAAATCTAAGAATCTAAGAATCAAAATCAAAGGAGAGCTTTGTGCCAATCACTTCCACAAGTCTCATCTTAAACAGCTAGTAGTACATGAGGAGGGGGTCACTCTCCTATTCTTGCACCTCTTTATCCACAAACTGGATAATGTCTGGTACATTCCCTCTAAAGGCAGAAGACTGTAGGGTCTTGTACTTGAAAATGTCAGAAAGAATGACGATTATGTGTTTTAGGGGAGATGATGCAGAGGGCGTCTTGACCTAGGGACAAGAGGCTGGAGCCCGCTGCAACCCTGTCCACCGTGGGGGCCAACTTCACAGGGAGTCAGGCCAGTCAGAGTGCAGGGGTGTGCTCTGCAAATCTCTTCTGCTTGGATTTTCTTCCAGGAGAAGGAAATTTACCGTTGGCCTGCCAGAGAGTCCCTGAAAACCATGCTGGCTGTGGGCTGGTCTGTGGAGAGGACCAAAGAGGGAGAGGCCCTGGTTCAACAGCGGGAAAACGAGAAGCTTCGGAGCGTGTCCCAGGCCAGCCAGGTATGACAGCGTGCCCCGGGGCCAACACTGGGCCAGTAGTAAGAACCCCCGGAGAATCTGGGAAAGCTCTCCCTGGGGGTGTCAGGGGCCAAGAACCACCAACTGTGAACCCTGAGAATACGTCTTTGGCAGCTGAAGTCAGGATACTGTTAAGAATAAGGAAAATAATGGCAAACCCAGCAATTCTGTCTTTGCTTCCCTAGGGCAACAGCTACAGCCCTGCTCCCCTGGACCTCTCCAACGTGGTGCTCTCCAGGGAGCTCCAGGTCAGTGTTGGTACTTGCAGAACAGCTTATCTTGCTTTCTAAAACCCCCTAAGTGCAGGGTCATATTATCCTCCAAAGAGTTTTTTTTAGACTCCAAAGAGTTTTTTTCAGAGGGGGGCAAGAATGCCTAGAACATAGCACCACTAAAGTATCAGACTAGAAGAGAACCACATCGGGCTGGGGCCACAGGGCAAGTCTCAGCAAAATAAACCAGTTCTCTAAGAAGGCCAGGCTTTGCACGTCTTCCAGGGACAACATAATAGGTAGTGCCTCAATAAAAGGAGGACACAGCAACTTACTCTATCAACACACAGAACTAACAACTAGGAGAAAAAACTAATAAGGCTAGGAGAAAACCTGTGGAAAGACCCCTGGGTGGGGGCGCTTTCCTTGTCCCAGCAGGTGCGACCAGCCCCAGGGACACTTGTGTATCCCATGGTGGATTCCCTCAGGGGCCCCGTGATGGCGCAGGATTTAGGGGCAGACAACCCAAAGGATGAAATTAAAAGCCCTAAGCTGCCTCCCCCTCCCACTTTTCTCCCCTCCCACACACATTGGTTGCCGCGACAGGCTTCAGCCTGGGCCAGTTACTCCTCAGTCCTTCAGACCACTCTTTGGACCTTAGAGAAAGTTTCTTTCCAACATATACCCTTCATCCCAGGTCACTGTTTCATGAGCCTTATAAAGATGAATTCCATTTGAGAAATCTTTGCAGCCATTTTTCTCCAAGATGTGATTCTTCTTAGTTTGCTCAGCTCAGGGCTTTTGGGGATTCTAGACTGTGGCTTGACTCTCACTTCCATCTCCCTGTCTCAGGTCAGGAATAAAATCCTGAACTCCTGTGACAAATGAAGCACCTCCAGAATGCAGTTTCAAATGGAAATGTGTGTTTCTCATAAATGCATCCAACTGCCAGGATAATAACTTACAAGGGAAGGACAGAATTAGAAATTGCTTTCTGTGTGTATGGGAAGATATGAAACTAATGAGGTGCATAAGCACAGACTAATTAATGATGGGAGACACTCAGCAATGAGCTGTTAGCATTTGGTGGTGCTCCATTCCCGAGCCTGCCTGCAATAGGCTGGCGGATAGGAACCCATTTTTCTTCCTCGTTTTCTCTCTGACTGTTGTCTCCTTGGTGGGACACAGGGAATGGTGGAGGTCGTGGCTGAAAACTATCACAACATCTGGGCCAAGAAGAAGAAGCTGGAGCTGGAGAGCAAAGGTGAGCCAGGTTCTCGGTGCCCCCTGCAGAAGGTGAGCTGGGGGCAGGTATGTTTTCCCGGAGGTGCAAAGGAAGGGCCAACTATGTTGTCCTCTCTCACTTTCCTGAGCCCAGGTGGCGGCAGTCACCCTCTGTTGGTACCATATGACACCTTGACAGCCAAGGAGAAGTTCAGGGACCGAGAGAAGGCACAGGACCTGTTTAAATTCCTCCAAGTGAACGGCATCGTGATTTCTAGGTAAGTCCTCTTCCGGGTGATGTTAGCGAGGCGGGGGTGGGCTTGTGGGCATGGTCTCTCCCTCTCCAAGTATTTACTCACCTGCCTGCAAAACAGATGAGAGGAAGGGTAGCTGTTAGTATTTTGAAATGAGAAAACTTTTATTTGGGAGCATGAAGCCGTCTTTTTTGACCTAAACAGGACCAGTCAATATCCGTTTTTCAAAACCAGTTATAGCAAAGAATCATGACAAATGATACATATACACCTTAAACATTTATTTTTAAATTGAAACACATAAACAAGCATTCATTCACAAATCTTGTGCTATAGGCCCCAAGACCTTCTCTTTGTTGTTTGATCGATTGGGGTTATAAACCATATACCTAGTGCATCCTCAAAGCTTTGGGACTTGGGCTTCTTTACACAGCAGCGAGAATTACAGCAGGTACAAAACCATGGAAATACAGTAATCTTCTAGATTTCTTTTCAACTTCCTCCCCTGTCTTTTACAGTTATTTTCTTTCAGACCTAATTCAGAAACTGTGTATTTGGAAACGCAATTTCAGGCCTTTGCAGAATATGCAACTTAGCTCTCACAGAACCAACGGTCCTCCTCACATTTTTCATTTTGTTGTTTTATACGATACTTAATTACATAATAACAATAAGTACGCATAACTGACATAAACAGCCTTTGAAGGAAGAGAACTGATTCTTTTGAAGGCGCAACTCCACTGAGGAGATGGAATCCATCGAGATTTCCTGAGACTTTATCTCAAACTTAGGCTTGTCAGAATTATCTAGAGGAGTGTTGTATGTGAGTATGGTCGTAGCTGCTTAAGTCTTAAAGGTAGAACCTGTTTCCTCGCTGGTCTGATGTCGGTGGTGGGCTGTCCTCCGTGGGTCATGCTTGCTAAGTCCCTTGAAGGGTGAAAAACAAGCCAGTGTTCCTATTCTGATACAGCCATTCGTCCTAAAAGAAATGTCTGCTGAGCCAGCTGCTGTTTCTTCCATTAGTTTCCTACAGCATGTTGCCACTGCATGGCAAAAAAACCCCACTAAAAATCTATACAAATATTTCTGTTGTAGCTCATATGAAAAAATAACAAAACTTATTTGCCATGTTGTCAAGCAGGAAAGGTCAGACAGCAGGAGACCACCTCTGGGGAAGCATTTGAGAAATACTCCCTTCATCATTTTAATCCTGTTCTTAGCACCCAGAGGAATGCGTACTGTGATTTGCTGATAAATAACTTGCTCACAGAAATGAAAAATTCCTCTTTCCCCCAACTAAAAAGGAACTCAAGGAAATACGGGGGAAAAGGAAGAAGATCGTTGAATTCAGCAAATGTATCCTAGTAGCTGTATTTACCACGTGCCAGACCCTACGGAGGGCACCTGGGGGGCAGACGAGGAAGTGAGAGCCCTGTCAACAAGGAGAACTCGTTCCCCACTACCCATGCCTCCAACCTCCATCTTCAGCTTCCCCATCACTCCATGACAGCCCATTCTTCCTGGTGCTCAAATCTAAACCCTTGACTCCTCTTTTCACCCAACCCACATCCAATCCTTCAGGAAATCCTGATGGTTCTGCCTTTAAAAGATATTCAGAATCTGACCACTTCTCACCTGTTCCACACGGTCACCATCATTCCTGAAAGAGCCTCTGCCCCGGGCCCCTTGCTTCAACCCTTGTCCCCACCCTCCACAGTCAGTTTTAAACCTAGCAACTAAAATAATCCTTTTATAGTGTAAGTCATTCCCCTATACAGAACCTTCAATAGCTTCCCATCTCAGAGCAAAAGCAAAATTCTGAGGATGGCCCACAGGGCCCTAATGATTTACTAACCACCTCATGTTTTTCACTTCCATTCCATCCACACTAGTATCTGCCATATCCCTTCAACTCAGCATGCATGCTTCTGCCTCAGGACCTTTGCACCACCGCTCCATATGCCTGGAAAGTTCTTTCCCTGGACGTCCATATGGCTCACCTCCTCACTTCCTTCAAACCTTTACTCCAGTGTCCTCTCCCCATGAAACCAGCACTGATTGCCCATGTGACACTGCAGTCTGCTTGCCTCCCCCCTTCAGCCACTCTTGGGCCCCCTTTCATACTGCTTTGATTTTTCTTTTTTCATAATGCTAATTAGTTTCTAGCATCCCACATAATTTATACTTTGTTTAATATATTTTGTGTGTCTAGCATATAGGTTCCATGGAGGCAGGGATTTTGTTTGCTTCTCTGATTTATCCCTGCCTGATACTTGTTGAATGAATGGTAAAGATATTTTGAAAAATCTTTTCAGATATTATTCTAGTTCAGGTCTTGTGTGCTCACAGAGGCAGGTTCCAAGTGCAAGGGGATATCAGTCAGATGACAAATCAGGTCACTAAACCAGAATAACCGTTAACTTTTGGAAAGTAAAGTCAACACAGATAGGATTGCTGATGCTCCAAAATCACATAGTCATCTCTGTTACTTCCTGGGGTTTACCCATTTCCAACCTAGAGGTATGAAGGATATGGAGCTGGATGCCTCCTCCATGGAAAAGAGGTTTGCCTATAAATTTTTGAAGAAGATCCTGAAATATGTTGATTCCGCCCAAGAGTTTATTGCCCATTTGGGTAAGTATCATTGTGACGTATCCCCCAAATGTGTGCTTCCCTTAATATTTCGTGCTCTCAAAAAGAATGTGGCATTCCTTTATCAAGGGATGATGCTTTCCTACTGTAGCTGTTCGTGATTCATTCTGACATCGTATGGTTTTGGAGGGGGGGAGGGGAATGGTGGCTGAGATTTTGTCCCGCTCTTTAAAAAAAATCTGTTTCATCCTTGGTTTCAGGGTTTGATTGAGCCATTTGTCATTTTTCATATAACTCGTCCTATTGTAACTTTTCCATTGTTTTTCTTTGTGACTGTGGGCATATGACTCAACCTCTCTGAAGCTGCTTTCTCGTCAGTAAAGTGGAGGAAAGGGTAGTGAAACAGCTGAGAGAATTGACATGAGAAAACAACTAACCAGCACAGTGAGAAAGTCCTTTGTAAAATAGAAGATACTTTGTAAAATCAAATGGCCCTTCCATGGCCCTCAGGAAAGCCGCTCTGTTTCTAAAATGCTGTGACTGTTTTTGGTTTAGTTTCCTTTAACTGTGGCCAACTTTGTGTTACTTTTGTCTTTGTAGAAGCCATTGTCAGCAGTGGGAAAACGGAAAAGTCTCCCCACGACCAGGAGATCAAATTCTTTGCCAAAGTAAGTGATTCCCTGCATTTAAACCAAATTATTTTCTTCTTAGAATCTGTACAATTTAGGGTGTAAGTTAAGCTCATCTCACAAAGATACCCAAAACTCCAGTGGCTTTGATGAGATGGGCCTGTGTTTCTCTGTTGTGGAACAATCCAGAGGCAGGTAGGTGGTCTGAGGAGGCAGGCAGCCCGTTCTGTTCCACACCGTCACCCCGGAGACCCAGCTACTTCCTCTTGTGGTACTCCACCATCTCCTCAAGTGTGCTGTGTGTTGGTGTGGTCCGGATGGTCTCACCGGTACCACATCTGTGGGAGAGGGGAAAGGGAGAAAGGAAGACAAGCTGCTGCTCTCTCTTTTTTTTTAAGGTTTTATTTGTTTATTTGACAGAGAGAGAGAGATAGTGAGAGCAGGAACACAAGCAGGGGGAGTGGGAGAGGGAGAAGCAGGCCTCCCGCCGAGCAGGGAGCCCGATGCGGGGCTTGATCCCAGGACCCTGGGATCGTGACCTGAGCCAAAAGCAGATGCTTAACGACTGAGCCACCCAGGTGCCCCCAAGCTGCTTCTCTTAAAGTGCTATCCCAGTGGCGAAAACTCCGTCGTTTTTAGATCCACCTAGCTGCCAGGGAGCCTGGGTGATGCATTCTCTAGCTGGGTGACCCCATGCCCAGCTAAAACATGGGGGTTTCTGTTGCTAAGAGAAAGAAGGGAAGAATGAATTTGGGTACCAGGGAGTAGTCTCTGCCATAGAACCCTACTCAGGACTGAATGCATGCGAGGCCTCGGGGTAACTGCGCCTGAGAAGCAGAGACAGAAGGCTCAAGGTTGGTAGTGCTAGGCTAGGCCCCAAGTGATCCTGTTGGACACCGTGCCCAAGAAGACATGACTAAGCACAGATGTACCACCGGACTCTCCTGAAAATGCTGACTCAGCCATATGCACATTTCTCGGGATCCTTAGTCAGTAGCCTTCTCCATTCTCATATCCCCAAGACCTCTGGTTTGAGGTGTATGAGAGGAAAATGTGTTGGAAACTGCAATCCACCAGGTAGAGTTTCCTGGAAATTCCAGGACCTATGTTCAGAGGCTTTTTGCTCACGGAAAATGAACTTTTTCAAAGGAACCAATGGAGGGGCTTTGGTTAGCTTCCTAGAGATTAATTTATGGTGGGTTTTCCAGGTTCTCCTCCCACTGGTTGACCAGTACTTCACCAATCACCACCTCTACTTCCTGTCATCCCCCCTGAAGCCCCTTAGCAGCAGTGGCTATGCCTCTCATAAGGAGAAAGAAATGGTGGCCAGGTGAGTCTATGAAAGAGAAGGCCATGGTGACGATGTGCTTTGTATAAAACCCCAGATTCCTAGAGCCTCAATGGTGAATCTTTCAGAGAAATGAACTGTGGCCTGGTGATTGGTAGCACAGAGGTTTTGGTTATCATCTTGGTTTTGAAAGTACTTATATTCATATTTATCTGTGTATTATTTTGGCAACCAAGAGAAGTGCGCTGTTGGGAGGTATCACTAGGGCTTGGAAAAAATTTATGTACTCAGATCAACTTTTATCCTGAAATAACATTTAGAAAAAGGCGAAATCAATCCTGAAGCTTGAACAAGCGAACACACAACATTGAGAAGAAACAGATTAATGCTGTTTTCAATCCCATTCTTATCAGGCTTTTTCAGTTTAAATTTGTTTTAAAGAATCCAGTCTTAGAAGTCCTATTGTGGGTGATCTGATATTTGAAATCCAGAGCAACACGATTCAATTAAAATTCCAAATAGGAAAAAAAAAAAAGTTCCTCAGGAGCACCAGCCTCCATCCTCCTTGCAGTAGGCATAACATGTGGGCACCTCAAGAGAGAGGAGAGCAAAGAGGATGCTTTATGATCAGGCTAAAAGATGGATTCCACCATTCCTCTGGTCTTGTCCGGATTTGATTGGGAATGACAGGGAATGAGTTAGACCTCTAAATGGCAAAGAGTTAAGAATTATATTGGAAGAAGTCAGCTCTTTCCCTAACAGCCATGGATGGTGGACAGCATACAGTGTACTTTCTAAAGGCCCACCCACTAAATATCACCATCCTCGTGAGGACAGTCAGCCTCAGGATTTAGCAAACACTTATTAAGCCCAGAGCTAACAGTGAGCTGGTTTTTCCTCCTTACACAAGTGGGCAGTAACTCTTGCATATCATTGTGAACCATCACCGTGCTCTAAGAACTGCCTATATATTCTCTCCATTTTACAGATGAGGACACTGAGGTTTGCCCGAAGTGACCCAGGTAGTAAGTTAGGGCAAGAATGAAAGTCCTCTCTAGCCGCATGGAGTGCCATTTTCTCTGCAGTCATTACTTAACCTCATTTTTTAAGAAAGGAGGAGCCCATGCTATCAAAATGAGATGCACTTAGCATCAGTTGCTAGCCAAAGATTTCCTAAGTATTTTCAGGATGCACCGGTATATTTTGTAAGAAGTTCAGGAAATGAGGGGCAAAGTGAGATATTCAGACAGTCCAACAGAGGGCAGGTGTGTCTGTCTTCTTCATCTATTTTTGTGAGATTGTTAATTCATGGAAATGTAACATTTGTTCAGCCAGGCACCATTTGTCACGGCTGGAAGACAAGCTGCATCTGATCAGCCTTGCAAATAGCTTCCAGATCCATCGGTGTGCTTGCCACCCTCCCACAGAAGCAGTAGCATCTGCACCAAATGTTCACACCTCCAGACCCTTCTTGTCCACGTCTTTCCCCTCCTCCCCACCCCATCTGCATCTGCTGCCAATCACCAGGGCTACCATACTCTCTCCCCTGTGGTCCCTTTGATTTGTCACTTACAAATTCTGAGATGGGGAGGCACCTGGGAACTCTGGCCCCTCGTAACACTGGGCTAAGGACAGCGCTTCTATTATGCGCCCCATAGGGGACAAGAAGGGGCCTTTGAAAACCTCGGGTCCTGGCCTTGGCATGCCTGGGCAAGCACTTCTGACAGCAAGCAGAACCCTGTTAGTATTAGGATCAAACAATTCCACCATCTGCTTTAGTTAGAAAAATGTTACTTTGTATTTATACAGAGCATGTGTCCGCTTTGAGGCATTTCACCGGAAATATCTGCGTTGATCAGCCCCTAATTCTAAAAACTAAGAGGATCTTGTGATTACTCCCTACTTACAGATGATAAAGCCAAGGCCCAAGAGCAGTTAAGTGGCTTCACCAGGACAGCCCAGCTAGTCATAGCAGAGCCGCGGGGCTCATGTTCCTTCAGGCTCTCTCCCTCCCCCAGGTCCATGATTTTTTTTTTTTTTTAATCAAATACATAGCTCTTTAAAAAGTGGACACAATGGGAAGAGCAAAAAAGCAGTCCCTGTTTAATTTCACACTAGCAGGCTGTCAAATTTGTTAACTTATTCTGAATTCTCCAAAGCTCTAGGCCAGGGTTTCCAGCTTATTCCCACTGCAGAAATAAATGACTGCCCACAGGGGACTTTAGCTCTGATTGTCCAGTAGACAGCTCAGTGGACTCAGGGTGTTAATTGAAAACCATTTAAAGGTGAGCAAGTTTTTTTTTTTTTTAAGTTTTTATTTAAATTCCAGTCCGTTAATAAACTAGTGTAATACTGGTTTCATGTGTACAGTATAGTGATTCAACACTTGAGGACATAAAGGTGAGCAAGTTCTGATCTCCGCCAACACTCAGGATGTGTTTCTTCTCCGTTTGAGCTGTTCCCGAAAAGACTTCTGCCCCGTGTGAGTCAGGAAGCCCTCGACAAGCTATGAATGAGAGGCTGGGATGGACTTCAGCTCGGTCTCAGTTTGAGAAGCCCTTGGCCCGTAGCAGGTGTTTTTAGTCTACCTTCCCCTCTGTGTTCCACCAGGAAGGACCGCTTGCTGAAGGCATTACAAAGTTCTTGCTGGGCCAGTGTCACATAGGGTCAGAGTTCTGAGCAGCCTCGTCCCCAGAGCCATTGACAGTACAGGTCACGTCATAGCCATGGTGGGTAAGGGTCCATCAGTGGCATGTTCAGAAACATTTATAGAGCTCCTTCCTAACTGCACAAGGCTCTCTACTAGATGCCACAGAAAGCAGAATGCTAAGATAACGGATGGACCTCCGAGGGGTTCCATGATAGAAAAGATGAGCGAAAGCATGGGGTAGGGTCAAAAAGCACCAAAAGCATAGCAGATGGGCTTTTCTAGCTTCCAGGGAGGAGCACAGCTAGGACAGCCACTCGGTCAGGCCCACCGACTAATAGGAATTGACAGAGAAAAGCAATTTCCCAAAGTGGTTTTGTCCAACACAATATCCCCCATCCCTGAACCGTTCATTTTCTTCTGTTCCCACCTGCTTGCCCACCTCCCATCTAAAGCGCCCCACCGCCAGTGAAGGCTGCAAAATGGTCTGCAGTCTGTTGCAACAGTGGAACATGCACGATCCCTGTCAGAATCCTCATGTATTCCTGAATGTCATCCAGATGAATGTGTCAGCACGTGGTACTCTATAGCAAGGGACGGTTTGCGATAACCTGGTCACTGCAAAATACTGCAGTTGTTGCAGAAGGATTATTTTCTGTGAGGCTGGGGCTGCCTCCAAGGTGCCTTCCTGACTCCAACAAGACAGCAGGGAGCACAGACTTTCCTAGTGTGGTCCAGAGGGTCTTGGAGAGGAACACAGTGCATTTTCCTAGAGATCCATTCTGCGCTCTTTGATATAAAGCATGGGGGCCTGGGGGAGGGAGGGTACAAACCAGTCCTCGGATTTCTGTGCCTTTCCCACTCGCCTTCTTTTCTGCTTCAGCCTCTTCTGCAAACTCGCTGCTCTTGTTCGACACAGGATTTCCCTCTTTGGTAAGTGAAGAGAAGTATTGCTGAAAGCCTCACTCCTCCCTATAATTATCCTTAACTTGCATTGTGCCTGCAGACAACCTGAGCCTTAGGACGAAGGTGTCACCTAAATTTGCCATAGAAAATTGGTCTGAAGTATGATAAATGACCTCTCTGCCCCTTTAAGAGCTCAAATTTTCCACACCAATGAACGTTTTAAGCTCTGCCTCTAACATCCATCAAAGAGCAGATGTGTCAGGCCAGAGATAAATGCGTTGTCCCCGCACAGAGGTCTGGCCCTTCGTGTGTTGGTGGTTAATTATGCTGGGCTGCAGTTTGTGCATATTGAGAAGATTGCATTTAAAAGACAGGCTGAAGGGTTTGGGGAGTCACCGGTGATATTTTTGTTTCTAGGGAGCGATTCTACTACAATGGTGAGCTGTCTTCACATCTTAGCTCAGACACTTGACACAAGGTAAGTCTGCCGGTTTTTTCCAGTAGTTTCTCAAGACTCACTCTCTGACCCCCTCTTCTCACTTACTGTATAGAAGAGAAGACGTGTCACTGCGCAGCAGGAGCCGGGGGACGGGGGGAGAGAGGAAGGAGATGAATCTAGCCTGACATTAGTACTCTCCATCTCTCCACTCACATGATGGAGAGCCACTGTCATGACATGTACTGCACGCTAAAAGCTGAGCATTTGATCAATTCTTGTCTTCTCTTCCTGAGAAATTCATCTTTCAGAAGATAAAATATGTAATAGAGCAAAGTGCCACTTTGTCCCTCATTCTCCACCAAAAAAAAGGAAGAGTTAGCTACCTGATGCGTGGCGAGGCCATAAGCACCCTGGGAGAGGGGAACCGTAACACTCTGAATCCCAAGCAGCCAAGGAGGGAGGTGCAGGGATATGTGATAAAAATATCAGAGACAGGGGCGCCCGGGTGGCTCAGTCGGTTAAGCGTCTGCCTTCGGCTCAGGTCATGATCCCAGCATCCTGGGATCGAGCCCCTCATCGGGCTCCCTGCTCAGCGGGAAGCCTGCTTCTCCCTCTCCCCCTGCTTGTGTTCCCTCTCTCACTGTCTCTCTCTCTGTCAAATAAATAAATAAAATCTTTAAAATATATATATATATATATATATATATCAGAGACAAAGATGTGTTTGGACCCATGGCCTGAAGGTCTTGCAGGAAAGATGGCTGAAAGGGAAAGAAGTCTTAACAAATGTATGTGTAAGTTCTGGTAATAAAAGCGTAAATGATCTGATGAGATGAGGAAGAGAAGGAGTGGCAAGGACAGACAGGGAGCTTTCTTTCACACACTTGTCAAGCAGAGCCCCTTGTCAAAGTTGGGAGGAGGACTGTATGCAGAAGAGAAACCAACTGAAGGAGTGGCCACAAGATGAAAATTTACCAACTAAGAATGGTTGCCAAAAAAAGTTAAGGATAATTAAAGGGGATTTGAGGGGTCTACACCCCTAGAACAAGAAACAAACATGGTGATATTAGGACAGCACAAATTCGTAGGATCAGGCCAAGGCACCCCAGAGGATTCAGATCCCTTGCAGCTAGGAAGAGAAATCTTGATTCCCAGGTGCATGTAGACTGCCTTGGGAGAGCGTCCCCCCCCCTTTTTTTTTTAAATGCAGGTCAGCATGTTTGATAATCATTCCTGACAAAACCCAAGACTAGAAAGTTAAGAAGATAGCTCATGATTCTTTACAGGCTAGGAGCAAGCCTCACTGACTTCATTTCTTTGTTTTTATTTTTCTGGTTGGTTGGATGATTATCCTGAAAATGCTGTAGATAAAAAGCATCTGTCCTTGAAGCAAGCCTGTCATAATCTTGTGAATAAGATGTTGAAATATGGAAAATAATAGTTGACTTGTTAGCCTTGTTCCAATTCTAAGTTTTATAAAATAGTTTTGAGGGGAGGCTAATCTCCATTCCCACAGGGCACAATCTATAGTTGTTTCCCCACCCCCCACCCCCAGCGGTCTGATGAAGCTGTCTGTTTTAAAAGGGGCTTTCTGTCCCTCTTCCCTTTCCTTCTCCAAGCTAGGACATCCCTGCAAGCTAATAGAAATCTAAACTTCACGTGACTTCTTTGTTCTCTCTAAGAGGTCCTGCATCATGGGAGAGCTAATATTTCTAGCTACTCCTTATAAAAGTAGCTTATCCCGTAATTAACTCTAAGAAAAACTCACCTCTCCTTCCTTCTAATTAGATATTTACAGAGGGGGGCGCCTGGGTGGCTCAGTCATTAAGCGTCTGCCTTCAGCTCAGGTCATGATCCCAGGGTCCTGGGATCGAGCCCCACATCAGGCTCCCTGCTCCGCGGGAAGCCTACTTCTCCCTGTCCCACTCCCCCTGCTTGTGTTCCCTCTCTTGCTGTGTCTCTCTCTGTCAAATAAATAAATCTTTTTTTAAAAAAAGATATTTACAGAGGAACGTAGCCAACTGGGACACTATACTGATAAAGGATGACTAAACTCAGTTTCATTCTAAACCCTCCTCTGTATTTCCTGAAGAGTGGAGTGCTAATTCCATCCAACAGAGAACACCATCCTGTTGTCAGCCCCACCTTGGGATTGTGTGATCCAGGTGACTCCCTGGATGCCAACTGTTCTCTCCACTTCTGACTTAGTGTTTTCAGTTGACTGGAGTGTCAAATGTCTGCCCGGGTTAAACTACAAGTCACCAGTTTCAAGAAGGGGGTTGGCCAAAGGTTTGGATTATGATTATGCTTCTGGTCTTTAACATCGTTTGCTTACAGGACTGTCATGAAGTCAGGCTCAGAGCTGGTCAAGGCCGGGTTACGAGCATTCTTTGAAAATGCTGCAGAAGACTTAGAGAAGACTTCAGAAAACCTGAAGCTGGGGAAGTTTACCCATTCCAGAACACAGATTAAAGGCGTGTCTCAGAATATTAACTATACCACGGTGGCTCTGCTCCCCATCCTGACATCCATCTTTGAGCATGTTGCTCAGCATCAGTTTGGGGTGGATTTACTCTGTGAGTCCTATTACTATCGTGGATTTCTATGCACATGGCCCCAGATAAGAAGTGTGTGACTCATTCACTTGAGTTGACCTTGAAAGTAGAACAGAGCGATAATTATTCCATGCTGTTTTCTTCTTAGGTTTAAAAATGAAATAATAAATACTTAGAGGAGGAGAAATCCTCCAATTTGAGTATATAATATTTCATCTTTTCCCCACTATTATTCAGGACCAGAATTTTCCACCCACTGGCTTAGCTGTCAGCCATTGTGTTCCCACTTAATTTGAAAAGGTTATCTGAGTAATCCAGCAGGGGATATAGGTTTGCTCCCAGGGTTTTTCAGATACCAATTTTCCTGTTAAGAAGCCCTAATTTATTCATTGGATACCAGGAGCAAAGGAAAGCTGCTAACATTTCATTATCTGAGCCTTCAGAAGAAGACCATAGTCAGTTAGTTTTATTTCAGTTTGCATTTAGTACCACATATAGCCCCTAGAGCAAATATTCTGCCATCAAGCTCAGTTTCACACTTTAAATGTTGGCCCATGATTTAATTCAATTTAACCAACTGTTGATAGCTGACACTGTGAGTGCTATATCCCTGAAAAAATGAAAATCAATTATTTCCATAGAGGAGGGCAAAGGGATGGGGGAGCATCCAAACTCATTATGTCATGTCATGGAAGGAATGCCCTTCCTTATTGAAAACCTAAAAATTAAATTAGTTCTCATTATGTTCAATTAGTCCCTGCCTTATTATGAGTTCCAGACATTGAAGGGGCATGTAGCCGATGGATTCAACTCGGTGGATTCCTAAGTGGAACATGCCCTTCCCTCAGGAAAACATGGCACAATCATGATATAATTGAATTGTTTTTTGAAAAACGTCCATCGGAGAACTTGGGACAGGTGGACATGAGAAATTTTGGTCTATCTCTAAAGAGGTAGGGACGTTCTACATGTCTTCCTAGGAAATTAACAAAAGACTCATTCAAACTTCAGATTTCTTGCATTCTTCCTCTCAAAGGAAGGAAATATTACTATATGTAAAACTTAACTATAGTGTTCCCCCCCCCATTGGAAAAAAAAAAAATCCCATATGGATCTCATTGGTCAAATGATTTCTTTCCCTGAGAAGCAATGTGATTCACATCAAAAGCCCGCAAAGGAACGGAGATGACTCAGTGGAGGGCGTTCTTCTGTCAGTGGGTTCTCCCCCAGTTCAGTAATCAGCATCTGGGGAGAAAGGGACTATACCATGCAGGGGTGGGGGAGGGCTGGGGGGGCAGCGCGGGGTGCATGCACTGTCTTTAGCTCCTGGGTCATGCCATGTTTTCTGTTGGTGGACCCTTTCCTTGTGCCCGAGGTGAAGTGCTGGGATTGCAGCATGGTAATGACTGCTCTCTTCTGTTCTTTCCAGTAGGTGATGTGCAGATTTCATGCTACCACATACTGCGCAGCCTCTACTCCCTTGGGACTGGAAAGAATATCTATGTTGAAAGGTAATTAGTGAACAAAAGAGGCTTACATGTGCAAGGCTTAGAAAAATGTTACAGGGCGCCTGGGTGGCTCAGTTGGTTAAGCGACTGCCTCCAGCTCAGGTCATGATCCCAGAGTCCTGGGATCGAGCCCCACATCGGGCTCCCGGCTCAGCGGGGAGCCTGCTTCTCCCTCTGACCCTCCTCCCTCTCGTGCTCTCTCTCATTCTCTCTCTCGCAAAAAAAAAAAAAAAAAAAAGAAATCTTGTTCTTATCAGTAAGATAAAGAGAAGGGGTTCTCTGGTTCACTCAAAGATCCTTTATAGACATTCTATACAGAATTTTTAGCTGTCTTGGGGCACCTGGGTGGCTCAGTCGTTAAGCATCTGCCTTTAGCTCAGGTCATGATCCCAGGGTCCTGGGATCGAGTCCCGCATCGGGCTCCCTGCTCGGCGGGGAGCCTGCTTCTCCCTCTGACCCTCTCCCCTCTCATGCTGTTTCTCTCTCTCTCTCTTTCTCTCTCAAATAAATAAATAAATAAAATCTTTAAAAAAAAAAAGAAAAAATGTTACAGTCTTTCAACACTTAACAACATCTTTTCAGTACAGCAAAATCAAAATGCTCACTGAAATGGGATGGTGATTTTGAGCCTAGGTCATTAAATGTTTATGGCAATATTAAAATGTAGTGAGGCTATTGAGATTTATGACTTCTCTGGAGCTAAGTTAAAAAGAAAACCACAGGCCCAAATTGGCATTACTTGGGCTAGGCCAAGTCACCAAAACAGGGCTTAATACCTAACCTCGTTGCAGTTTCTTTTCTTTTCTTTTTTTTTTTTTAAAGATTTTATTTATATATTTGAGAGGGAGAGAGTACAAGAGAGAGTACGAGCAGGGTGGAAGGGCAGAGGGAGAGGGAGAAGCAGACTCCCCGCTGAGCAGGGAGCCCCACGCGGGGCTCGATCCCAAGACCATGATCCCAGGATCATGACCTGAGCCAAAGGCAGACACTTAACCCGGGTGCCCGCCTAATTGCAATTTCAACCTCCTGCAGAAATCTAAATCTTAATTGGTAAGTCAGGAGTTTTCTAATAGGTGCCAATGAGGTTATCTGTCACAAGGGCCCTCTCTGTCCCCTAAAGGAAGATGAGGTAATCTGCAGGATAAGACCCCCAGGTCTTCCCCCTAAGGGAAAGCTACCTAGCCTGGACCAAACTTTCCTTTTTTTTCTTTGGCTTCTGACTTTGTTGTCCCACTCTTCTTCCTATAAAAACTTTCCATTTTGTACCATCACCTCCAAGCACTCCGCTACTTGCTAGATGGGATGTTGCCAGATTCATGAATCACTTAAAGACAATGAGAGCTTCAGATTTACTCAGTGGAATTTTGTTTTCTAACAGATGGCTGGTAAATGTATGTGATTGGAGAAGCAATACTGTATAGCCAAGCTAAATCATATGCTAGTGACCAAAAAACGTTGAAGAAATGTCTATTTCTTCATAATCACAGCTTCCAAATAGCTTTCAGAGTTCCTGTGGTTAAAGCTTGCAGAAAAACTCAAGAGACATGAGGCTGTTACTTGAGTGTTTAATGAGTTTCTATGTGATACAGCCCTGGACCTTTACCATTCTTGGCTGTCAGATTAGCTATGGTTTTAAACAAGTGCACATTTTGGTACCAGAAATGCAATTCAGAAATCTTGAATCCGAACAAGCTGATCCAGTTCCCAAAGGAAACCCCTATTAACAATTTGGTGTATGTCATCCCAGATATTTTCTACACATGTACATTCGTACACATGTGGGATAATAATATCCATATTGCTTTGCAACTTTGTCCTGTTGGATGAAGCTAAAAAACTGAATTCCTTTACCATTCAACTCCTAGTTTTAGATTTATTATTTAGATAAAATGTCATTACCTTTCTACTTTAAAAAGGTAAGCAAATTTGGTACACTTGTATTCCTAGCTATCTTTTCTACCTTTCCTTTTTTGCTCTATAATTTCTTAAAACAGGGATTCCTGGGTGGCTCAGTCGGTTAAGCCTCCAGCTATTGATTTCGGCTCAGGTCATGATCCCAGAGTCGTGGGATTGAGCCCTGGATTGGGCTTTGCAGTGGGCATGGAGCCTACTTAAGATTCTCTCTCCCTCTCTCTCTGCCCTCCCCACCCCCAGCCTCCCCCCTGCACTCGCACACACACATGCGTGCTCTCTCGCTCTCTCTCTCTAAAATCAGAATAATAATTTCTTATAACATTTACATTCTATTCTAGAACCAATATTTCCTGAGTTGTTTACCTTAGTTTGTATTGTAATGATTCACCGAATAGCCAATCCTTTTGAACCATGACTTTCCCATTCCAGATTTTTTATTTTGTTTTGTGTCTTGGTTGGCCAGATTCATCATTAAGTATTTGTTTCTTTAAGAGTTCTTAGATACTCTTGAATCCTTGCATATTTTGGAATACTACCCCTTGATTTTGTGAACAATTTCTGTGGTAAAATCCTTGGGTCATAATTTTGTTTTCCCTCAGAAGCATATAGACTTTGCTTCTTTGTATTCTGACAATACGCCCTAGGCCAGGTGATTTACTGACTTACACATGACTTTGCAGTGGGAGGGGAAAAACTGGCCGTTCGTTGGATTCCTTCTTCAGTCTTGAAGCTCAGTAAGTTCCTGTAATATGTTCCAGGATGTGCTTATTCTATATCAGTCCCCTCTGCTTCTCCTCAGAACTTAATATGCCCCCTCAGTATTCAGAACTGGGTCTTCCATTTTTTACAAATCTTTCACTTTGTTTTGTAATTGCGGGGGGGTTTTTCCCTAGCTGTTATTCAGGGAGAGGTTTATTGGCTTTTCCTTAATCTTCCGCATTTCTCATTTTCTCCCAAGTAACTTTTAGCTAGTTGCTCTTTCCTGTTTTGGGTTTGTAAGGTATTTCTCAAACTTTCTCCATGTTCCTGACTCTCTTTATTTTCTTTATTTTCTGTGAATGTATCAAAAAGAGTTTTTCTGTATTTCTTCCTGGATAATTCTTCCTCAGAACCATGTTTCTCATCTACTTCTTGATCATTAGCTAATTGCTAGTTTTCAAGAATGGAAAAGAGCATGTGTGCACGTGTCTGGGGGCGGGGGGCGTGTTGAAGGAGTGTATGGGGAAGAAGCATCATCCAGCTTCACATCTGACGAACTGGCTCAGGACTCCCTCACTCTACCCAGAGTGCCTTTAACACTAGAGTGCATCCACCTCTAGCCTTTGGTGTCTCCCCCAACAAAAGTGAGCAACTGGCCCAGGTGAGAGGTCACAGGTAAAATTTTTAGTGCAACCTAAAGACATAGGGCTCTTGTATAGTCATTTAAAGTAGGTTTATTCCGGGTGCCTGGGTGCCTGGTCAGTTAAGCGTCTGCCTTCAGCTCAGGTCATGATCCCAGGGTCCTGGGATTGAGCCCCACATCGGGCTCCCTGCTCAGCGGGGAGCCTGCTTCTCCCCCTCTCTCTCTCCCTCTCCCTGCTGCTCCCCCTGCTTGTGCATGCTCTCTCTCTGTCAAATAAATTAATTAAATATTTTTTTAAAATAAATAAAAAAGTAAAGTAGGTTTATTCCATCCAGTAGAGGACTTGAGTCAGCAGCTACAGGACAGGTTACCTCTCACTCTTGCACTCTACTTCCCGTCCAGTGTCCTCTCCAGGCTCGGAGTCCAGGTCACAGGAATGATGGCATGTACACTTCTTCCCTACTCTGTCCTGCCTGCTTCTCTGCAGTATGAACCTGGTCCTGCATCCCCAGTAGGTCTCCCTGGACGCCCCCACACCCTTCATTGTTTCAAGCACAAGTTCATATTCTGGGCTCCTCAGAATCCCCATATTTACTTCCAGAGATTTCTACACTCTGCTCTTAGCCCAGAAAGTATGTTTCAGTTTCAGCGTCCCCACTTGATTTGGTCCATACTTTGTGGCTTGACATTATCACACATTTTCTTATTTCAGCAAAGATTTCAATGTCTTCCCAATTTTTTCTCCATTTCTTGTGCGCTTTAGGGAGGAAACTTCAGTCAAACACACCATTTCTCTGCCATCTTTTGCTAAAGTGGCTAATGAATGTCTGCAGGGTTGTAAGGGAACCACTAAATATCTGGTTTCCAGCTACAGCTTGCATGTGCATTGCGGGTGGGAGAGACTCTAGACACCTCAGTGGCAGGGTTGGCGGTAAAGAAAAGAAGGTCATTGAAACAGAATAGAGACCTTTCTTTTGGGATATGTTCCACTTGAGACAACACTGAGGTCACTGACAAGTAGTCTTCAACAAATTTTCAGCAAAAGGTAAAAGCTTATGCATTTAACCACAGAGAATACTTGCCTTCTTTGATGGGGAGATACTTTGATCACAGCATTTGAGGGGGGTTGGTCAAGAAGCGAAACTTGGAATTGATTGAAGCATTGGAACCTTCATTTTATTTCAAATGAAAATGGTGTTTTTCCCCTTCACACTTTAGAGACATTTATTCCTTCCTGTCCTGTGGCCTATGGCCAGTTGTTTCTGGCCAAACATTGCACACCTTCCCTAAGCCTCTGAGGGGACTCGTGTTGCTGATCTAGAGCCGTGGCCTGCCTCTGCTTTCTGCCCCTCCTCTACATTTTACTTCCTCTCCTTAGCATCCTTTGGAACATACGTGAAGGTACTCTCAAAATTGCAAAAACACCAGATAGGTACAAGGCATAATTCTTATTACTGTGATGACTTTCAATCTGCCTGGATCCCTAACAATAGACATTTGAGAGGTTAGATCTGGATCCGTGGAAATAAAATCGAGAGATGGACAAGGAGAGCCTGCAACTTATTAAATTAGAAAGTAACAAAAATTGAAATACAACCTGTCACCATTGACCAAGTTTTACTATATGAAAGATACTGTGCTAGGCAGTAGACACTGAAGTGGAAAGAGAAAGAGAGTTCCACATCCAGTGAACAGACTTTTCAAGTAGACCCTTTGGTGGCTGGAGAGGTTTCAGTAGCCCTTATTC